CACATGTCTTTCGAAAACTTGCTAGGCTCTGTCGGACATGCAGGTTTCCTCACGATGTTTTCCTTCACTGTAAGGCAAGTGGTAATCATGTTAGAAATGATTCGCACATGAAAATATCAGAGGTGCGAGACCCGGGATTTGAACCCGCTTCACTCGATTCCCCAAGTGAGCGCCTTAACATTGGCCTACCACTGCCTTAGTCACTCTTGTTAACCAGAAGCAATAAAATATCAGTAGTGCAAAAGACGTGCTTTTAATTTGATCCCAGAACTCATAAGCGTAATAATAATAAATGATTTTTTTTATTCTAATTTTTATAGTTGTGCTGTTTGTAGCTTGGAAAGAAATTTGACGACACGTTTGGCTCAGTTTGTAGTGACCCTACTTGCTGTGCCAGCGGTCGCGGGTTCGAGTCCCGCTGGGGGTATTCGTATGTGTGATGACGAATATTTGTACTCCAGTCATGGGTGTTTATATTTATAATATGTACGTATTTAAAGTTATATATGTGTAGTGTATCAACTATCTGGTATCCATAACACAAGCCTCGTAGCTTACCATGGAACTAGATGGTGCTGTGTGTTAATGTCCCAACTTATTTATTCAAAAAAATTTTTTTTATTGATATAGTAATATTCACTAATCGTAAAATGTCTTACTCCATTGCTATCTTGCGGAAAGTTTATCTTCCCCGTGCATAATATATATATATATATATATATATATATATATATATATATATATATATATATAAACCTAAAAAATATATTATTATTAAAACCTAACATCGAAACAATATTAAAAACAGATTGATACACGTTTTTATAACTTGTTTATAATATTTATAAAACAATCTCTACACAGAAGACAAGCTGTACTTTTCCTAAATGACACCAAGATCGATTAAATAGATTTTGTGCGGTTTCGTGACAAATCTTATGGCCTTGAGACTTCAACACTATACTTTACTTTTGAGATTTTCCCATCAAATTATAAGAAATTTTAGTGACGTATTAGTTAGATGTAAGAAGCGGCGTAATTAACAGCTAAAGACATTCATGCTTATACTGCATCCGCTACGGAATAAGCAGAAGCTACAATAGTAATTTAATGATGCTTGGCTAAACTCGTTTTGATAAAATTTTGGTTATTATACTGAGTTCAAAATTGTTTTCTTTCTTTTCTTTTGACTATTTGTATACAATAACATGCTCACTATAATACTAAATAGTGACAAACCCGAGCGAAGCGACGGTGACGCTTCGCTCGGGTTTGTCCCTAGGTACGTGTTAACGGTCAATATGGAGTAGATAGGCTATATTATATTATATAATGTATACCCTATAGCTTCCTCAATAAACAGGCTATCTAATGCAAAAAGAATTTCTTAAATTGGATTAGTAGTTCCTGAGATTAGTGCGTTCAAACAAACAAACGCTGCCTCTATAATATTAAGTATATATAAGTAATTACCTAATTAATAAGATAAAAACCCCAAAAATATACGCCAGTCATGCCGTATCAATAAGATTATTTTAATTGCTGTATCGATTTAAAACTTAATAAGTGATATCCGGAACGCAACATAATAATTGTCTTCATTAAGTTTTATATGTGAACTAGCATTGCCCGCGGCTCCGCCCGCGTTCAGATGACCAAAAACCACATTCTTAGGTTCTACATATTAGTATACTCTTACATTGCAGTTTTTGTATTTTTTCCCGCGGTAAAAAATATCCTATATGTTGACTCGGATAACCAGCTATCACCATATCAAATTTCGTCAAAATCCCTCCAGTGGTTTTTCTCTGATGCGGTAACAGACAGACAGACAAAAATTCTAAAAACTATAGATTCGGACTCTGTATCGATTATATTGTCTATTTCAATAAGATTTTCCAAAAAATATTTAATGTACAGATTCGGTTTAGTTACAACTTTATTATATGTATAGAAATCTTGACGATATAAACTGGAGCCAGACTACATGTAAATCCTTCGAGTAAATTCTTTCGATGCCGTTTGACGAGTTCTGTATCAGTTGTTCTATTGCTTATTATTTTAGTTTTTTTTAATTAAATATAATTATTTTGTCTTAAGCATTTGTATGTATGGACCATATCATCAAAAATCATCTCAAACGGGAATCAAACCCAAGTCTTAGTACCAAAAATGATAAAGATTGCTCTAACGGTTACATATATGTATCATGTTTAGCACGTTTTAAAAACTGTCACCTGGACTAACCAGTTTGAGGGGTTTGAGTGGAATTTTACATTTATATTTGGTCAAAGACCCCAAAATGCAGTCTGCGTGTAAGTGGGATAGATTGTTGTATTGTAATTTATAACAACAAAATGAATTATTAATGTTAATAAATTATAAAGTTAAATACCTAATAAAAAAAATGAAATATTAACAACATATTTAATTTAAATTTCTTAATTTCTTTAACAAAATCACTTAAAAGTAAATATTCCTTATATTAAACTAGCATTGCCCGCGGCTCCGCCCGCGTTCAGATGACCAAAAATCAAATTCTTAGATTTTACATATTGGTATACTCTTACAATGCAGTTTTTGTATTTTTTCTCAGAAATCAGATATTTTCCTACGGTAAAAAGTATCCTATATGTTGACCCGGTTAACCAGCTATCACCATACCAAATTTTATCAAAATAGCTCTGGTAGTTTTTCCGTGATGCGGTAACAGACAGACAGACAGACAAAAATTCTAAAAACTATAGATTCAGCCTCTGTATCGATAATAATGACTATTTCAATAAGATTTTCCAAAAAATATTTAATGTACAGATTCGGCTTAGTTACAGTTTTGTTATATGTATAGATTATATTTGTAATTTTCTTTGTTGTAAATAAATTAAAATTTAATTTAAAGATTTTTTCACGTTACTTAGTATTGTTAAAAACTTTTTTGTTTAACTGCTGTCTATTTTTTATATATTTTTTGAAGTTGTACTTCTTTTGGGACGTTTGGAAAAAAATATGAGAGTAAAATGTTTACGATGCGCGCGCACACCGACAGCCAAAAAGCGACATGATGAGCTAGCTAGCTGCATTCCTTTTACAAACAGAATTGTGACATACGGGATGAAATCTTTAGCTATATTTGTTCTGTTACGCCAAAGAAGTATAACTTCTTACGTGCGTACATAAGTACACACACACGTTTATTTAATATATTTTTTTATATTCCGCAATGCTTGAAAGATTATAATTTTAATTTTCTCAGTGTATAATTAAAATCAATGTAATATATAATTGTAAATAATAATTTTATGTAAGATTACATTTTTTTTCTATCCTTTAACTGTTAATGTACGATATGACGTAAAGTATTATTATTAATATTATAATATTGTCCCAGAATAATGGTATTTAGCGCCAATTGTGTTCATATTTTTAATTGAATAATGAGTTTTCACAGTTATGTATATATATATATATATATATATATATCGCTTGCTTCCCAATACAAAATTTCATCTCCATTTTCATCGCCTTAAGGGATGATTTCTGGGATAAAAAGTATCCTGTGTCCTTCTCACGATCTCAAACTATCTTCTTACCAAATTTCATCTAAATCGGTTCAATAGATCCAGAGATTACCTCCTACAACGTCACAAACTCACTAACTTTACCTCTTTATAATATTATAGTATTGATGATGGGATAAGTACGTTCATTTTTAACTTGTTCCATGGTTTCCATATACGGATAGCTCTCTATTGTCCGCCCTACTGTGTATCCGCCAATGTCAAATACAATCCTATCCCATTAATTAATCCATACTAATATTATAAACGTGAAAGCTTGTGAGGATGAATGGATTTAGATTTGTTACTCTTTCACGCCAGAACGGCTGAACGGGTTTGGATTGTTGACACAGTGATAGATTAAAGTGTGGAATAGCACATATCGACTAGTCCTACGTATACTAGTACAAGTGCAAAAAAGCAACTTTACAGGAGAGCGATTCAAACATTCTAAAGCTTGTAACTTTGACATAGTTCAACAGAAATCTTTGAAATCTTGAAATGTAATACCTGAGTATTATAGGAAAAGGGCTGTGTAATTAAATTTTAATTTTTTTTGTTATTTTAGAAAATCGGGTCAGTTGTATTTACGTAGCCTATTCTTCCTTAAATATTAAAACACATAAAGTAGTACAAGTGATCACTTATATCAGTATACGTGTACTAATTTTTTTGCAAACCAAGGCAAATAGAAGGACAAATCAATATAACATAAGCATATCCGTGGTTACTGATAAATAATTGAAGCTCGTGATATTAAAAATAATGATCTTTATCAATTTTTATCACTTGCACCACTTTACTAAGTACTGAAAACTACTTGTATCACTTTTCTATGTAATACTCTAGTCATAAATTTCATTAGGTTTACGGGAAATAAAACCAAAATATTAAAAAAAATAAAGGTTTATTACAAATAATATGATAACCAAACAAATTAATGGTTTAACCATTTTGAAACAAAAAATAAAAAAGAAACAATTATTCTTAATTTAGGTAGGAACTATCGTCAACTGTAATATGAGGTACCTAGTTATTAGGGCAGTAAATATTTATTAGTATTTAATCAGTCTTTCAAATATTATTAATATCTAGTAACAAAGTTATTAAAAATATAAAAAGAAACAAACGCATTTTCTAAATAATCATAATAAAACTTTATTATTTTACTAAAACGAAAAGAAAACCAAGTCCTTCTTAAGTAGGAACGATCGTTAAATTATTTATTCATTTAGTAACTACTCTTTAATTATCGGCCTTTCTGGCTAATTAAAATAAAATATCGCTTAGTCACCTAATTAATTAAAATAAAACAACAATCGTAGTGGTGGTAGGAATAAAATACAAAAAAGAGAAAGGCTGATAAATATAGCCTAGTCAGATAGGTCTCCAGTATTCTCGGATCTAATTTTCAAATTCTTATAATATAAATGCTATCGCTCAGGGATTACAGTTGAAATACAAAGATCTTGAAGATCTTTGTATTTTTTTATCAATTGGTAATAAGCTTTTGTAAGCTACATCTAAACTATCAAATTTTTTAGTAACAGTTTGTATGGCGGTTAGTGTGTTACTTCTTACACATTGTATAGTTTTATAGGCATCTTTTTCAAAAGTATATTTGTAATTGAGCTTAAATAAATCTTTGGCCTTAACATTAACCTCACAAATTTTATTCCACATCACAAGCTCTCCAATACAGTTCTTCTTCCAGTTATCAAAAAAGGTAAGGCACGACTTAAAATCAAAAATTAAAGATTGAGTAACTTCTTTTACTATGTATGGTTTTGCATTATCAGTGGCCATTTTGAAGGCCAGAGACCATTGATCTGGAGTATAAATCAAAACACTTCTGGTTTTCTTTTCTATTACGGAGTGAATACTGTCACCCTCGTTCTGTATGTGACCAACAACAAGAAAACTATTAGTAATATTCAACAATAACAATACCCTTGCAGATCACCCATGTCAAATGGGGTAAAATTATGAAAATGTACTTTTCTCTTATAATAAAATGTGCTAACATTGCCATGTGGTAAGCTTTGTATTTTTTGCAAATCGAAAGTAACAGCGACTATAGTTTTATCGTCCTTAGATATTTTTTGTCCAAAAATTGTTAAATATATCGTAACTTGCCATTTCTTCCACTTTTTCAGCATATTTTCTAGGATATTTACAAGGAGCTTTCATTTCTTTCTGTTTAGTTATTTTTCCAGTCCTACTTATATATTCTAAGCTTCTGTTTAAGTTGTATTTTCGTTTCTCATCTAGCCACCTGCTTTAGAATCTTTCTCGTAATCTGCCCTTATCTTTATTTTTTTGTTTCTTTGTCTTTACATTTGTCGGACTACTTAGCGGTGTATCAGTGTAATCTGAATTTAAAGGAAAACTATCAAACTCACTTTCAGTTTGTTGATAGGCTGATGAAAAAGAAACTGATGGTAAAGGTATAGGTGTGAAGCTCTCAATATCATCTTTAGGAAGCTTTGCCTGCTTAGATACACTTAATCCAGTAATAAGATTTTGATGTGAAGATAAAAGCTGTAATTCACACTTTCTTATGTATTATAAACGATCACACAAACTTCCTGGTCCTTAAAACATGTAGTAGAACTATCAGAATCTGACGAATTGTTTGATAAATTTCGATATAAATTTTCAACTGTTGGTGTTTCCTCGAAAAAGTCTTCTGGATTGTTTAAATTAACAACAGTATTGATGAACGACATTTCTTCAGTGAATAATTCCGCACTCGGAGGGAAGGGAGAATCTAAAAAACATATGATATACATGCATTAAAAATACTAATAATTAGTTTTTAAGGGAAAGTTTTCAGCGTAAATAATACTAGGATTTTGATAATACGTAAATAAAGCAAAGTTCTTTAAAAACATATATTTCATAATAATGTAGTTCATTCCTAACATCTACTTAATGTTGTAAAATATTTATGTATTTAATTGAATCCCACTCATGTCAAAAATGTTGGTGACTAATGTAACTTATATCATCATACTTATAAAACATTTGCAAAAATCATCAAATCAAGCCGTGTATACTGATATAAATGCAAAATTAGACAAAGGGAATTCACAAACAAAAAAAATAACATTTTACATATGTAGTATAACATTTTTATCTGGCTTATGTGATAAGTTTTCATTCGCGAATTGTAGATTTTCATCGAAATCAACCGGTTCTCTAATTCGGTACATATTATTTTTTTCCAAATTTAGCTGTAATTCCTCACACGGTCTGCATGTTGATAATTTAAGTGGTTCTAAAATCCAAATCAAAAAATTTTATTAATGCATTTAAAAAAAGTTTATACTATTAATAAATAAATTACCGTAAAAAAATCACTTGCACCAATATACGCGAGTACACAAAATAGAATACGTACTTTGTCTACTAGTGCAAGTGATAATATAAATAAACTGTACATTATTTAATTTATAAAACAGTCACAAACAATTAAATTAAATCTTAATTTATCATTTCTGTGTTGAAAATAATAAATTGATTCTTACCTTCGAAATTTTCGAGTGTTTTCGTTTTTCTGCATTTTTTTTCTACTAAATGTATCATTAGTGAACGCTTCATGATTATTATTTATTATCACAGTAATTCAACATGAATATAAACCTTATAAAAATAGGTAATTTTTAACAATTGCATAAATAAACCTGAAATCATTGCACTTGTACCAATGTAACACGTTAACTCTGTAGCGGCGTCACGTGTATACTGATGTAAAGGTCACTTACACGCTTGTGCCGCGTGGATTGTAACCATCTACATTAGTGCAAGCGACTTGCATCAATGTTGACAGTCGTGTGGTTTAAAATACCGTCACTTGCACCAAATGACAAGTTTGTAACTTTGAAATTTATTGATATTTTAAAATAAATTTCACAGGGTATGAAATATAGGTTATTCTAAGGCTATTGATGCAAAAAAACAGTTTTCATGATTTTGTCGGTTATACTAGTATACGTAGGACCAGTCGATATGTTACTTTTTATCCCGGAAAAATGTACGGTTCACGTGGGATAGATTCATTTGTATTTTTTACTAGGGACGAACCCGAGCGAAGCAAGGATGAGTTGCTAGTAGTATATATTTTTATACTAATATATTTTATGATATGTAATTTATACAAGATAATTGTGTCATTAAGTAACCACAACATTAAATCTATACATATAATAAAATTAAGCAGAATCTGTACATTAAATATTTTTTGGAAAATCTTATTGAAATAGACATTATTATCGATACAGAGGCCGAATCTATAGTTTTTAGAATTTTTGTCTGTCTGTCTGTTACCGCATCACAGAAAAACCACTGGAGGGTTTTGATGAAATTTGGTATGATGATAGCTGGTTATCCGGGTCAACATATAGGATACTTTTTACCGCGGGAAAATGTCTCGTTTCTGAGAAAAAATACAAAAACTGCAATGTAAGAGTATACTAATATGTAAAACCTAAGAATTTGGTGTTTGGTCATCTGAACGCGGGCGGAGCCGCGGGCAATGCTAGTAATATATACGTGTAAAATATGCTAACCTTACCTTAAACAAGACATCCATGGAAAAATGGCATAACTCATAAAATTAAAAAAAAAAACTATAATATATGATTTTCAAACATTTTATCTGTTTAAATCATATTTTAACTTTAGAAACCAACTCAAAAACAAACAAAAGTTATATTAAATTCCTTTTCATTATTATCTGTACCTTTTAAAGTTATGCCACTTTACGTTGATCATGTTTAATTCATGACTTTGTCATATTGTGACGTTATTCTATCGGTTAAACTTTTCTAATTGATAGATTCGTGACGTGTTTTATATATAGGAAATACCTTTGGCTAGTTACGCTTGATCGTTTATATGGTAATAATTAAAAGTTGTTACTGTACGTCTTAGAGAACTTAGCAAGTTTTCTAAAGACATGTGAAGTCCGCTCGCACTTGTCCAGCGTTGTGGACTATGGCCTGATCCCACTCGTATTGAAGGTGGCCCACGCCCAGCAGTGGGACGTTAAAAAGGGCTGAATACAAGTAAAGCCTAAGTTAAAAAACAAGTAGCATCATAGAGAATATGGACTAAGAAGAACACTTATTCTTCACTCTTTTCTTTTTTTTCTCTTTTAATGTTAAATGATGTGATTGATGCTGTACTATCATAAATAAATATGTTGGGACATAAACACACTGCACCGTCTAGTTCCATGGTAAGCTACGAGGCTTGTGTTATGGATACGAGATAGTTGATACACTACACATATATAACTTTAAATACATATGTACATATTATAAATATAAACACCCATAACTGGAGTACAATTATTCGTGCTCATCACACAAATGAATTCCCCCAGCGGGACTCGAACCCGCGACCGCAAACATACAAACTTCCCCTTCATGAATTTCAAATTCATTTATCAGGAACAGAATCTGTGATATTCGACTCATCGAGTACAGTCTGTAGACACTCGCTTCCTTAATATATTTACATTTAAAGCTGTGTATAATTTAACTTAATTCAAGTATTTAATAAAAATATCTCAGTATTTTTCCGTAGATATGTATCTATCTCTCTATTCAAGAAATTATAAAAAATCGGTCAAGTGCGAGTCGAATTCGCACATGAAGGGTTCCATATGTACCACCTGTACCCATATGTACCATCATCCATGTACTCCTTAATAATATGACTTTTATTCTATGTACTCGTATGTAATAGACCAATCTGAATCCGTTTATTTTTAAGAGAGTTTTTTTATTGAAAACCTGAAGTTTAATGATTTTAAAATGTTAGGTATATAAGGTATAAAAATTCGTAAAATGCCTCCTCTACCCCCGAGAAATGGGGGGACGCAAAGCGTTGAAAAATAGTTTTTTTTTTCAATTTCCGGCTTACTGTGACGTTCTATCGAAAAATGTTTTGTACATAAGTTGTAGATTTAGTAAAAATATACAACTTTTATAAATAACATTTTTACAATTCAATTATAAAGCTAATTAAAATTATATAAAAATGTTTAAAGTTAAAAGTTAAAATATTGTAAGGTACTTTAGTGCCATTTTTCAATTTTTTGAATTCATTTTGTTAATTGTGGGTAGGCTGTCTGTAACAACTATATAATACCTTAGACACATCTAACACCTCAGTCTCTCCCGTGACCATGGATGCTGTAAAGCATTCGAAACGTCGGGAAACAAAAATACAAATAAATCCGCGACAAAATCCGAAAAGACAGTTTTATTTAAAATGTCAAATATTCGCGTAAATCTAAGAAAGTATTATGTCTATTTCAATTAGATTTTCCAAAAAATATTTAATGTACAGATTCGACTTAGTTACAATTTTATTATATATATAGATGATGAGCTTTTTGACCAAGTGCTAAACACTATGCTAACCAATGATTGGTCTGTCTGTATGTTTGTTGATCGGATGTAATAATGTCGGTGTGACTGAAAAGAAGACCGTGGAATAGGAACGCGAGGCCAATTCTCTCGCACCAAAGGTCGACTGAAGGGAAGGCGACCTCTAAATATATAAAAAGGGACTTTCCAATTTAACCAAAAAATGTAAGACAAAATGACTAATTTCATACTATTCACGTTACGTCGTGTCATTGTCAGGGCCGGATTTAACCTTAGCGCCGCCCCTGGGCATAGTAAAAAATGCCGCTCTACTATCGAAATTTTGCATAAAATGGGTAATATTTCGATAAAAATTAAATGTTTTTAATTATTAATATTTTGAAAAATACAAAAAAATAATTTATAAATGATATCAATTTTTCGGAGTGTGTACCTACTAATATTTTCTTAGATTTACGTGTGTTCAGTTCTTTGCTTTAATGGCTGACGTGTGAATATTTGACATTTCAAATAAATTTAAATTGTCAAATATTGCATCCTTTTTTGATTTTTTTAAATCGTTCGGGAACCAAAAATCAAAATAAAACCGCGAAATAATCCGAGAAGAATGTACCTAATAGTTAATAATTTTTTATTTTTCATTTTTAGTTAATTTTTCTCCCTCCGAATTTTGCCGCCCCTAAAAATTTTCCGCCCTGGGCACTAGCCCCGAGTGCTCTTAGGGTAAATCCAGGGCTGGTCATTGTTATATTAAAGTTTTTATTTTCTACCATCGGGCCCTTTATTCGTCATATCTATAGTTTTGACTGCGATGTTTTAAAAATAAACAATATTTTATAATAGGTAAAGTTACCTAGTAACTAAAATATCAGTATTTTTTATTATTATGAAAGTGTAATAATAACATAAAGGTTTCTTTATCGATTAGAGGCTGCTTGGTGGTTTAGGGGCTAAATATACGGCAGACAGATCCAGAAATCCTGGGTTCGTGTCCCGGGTCTTGCAAAGTTTAAATACCGAGTTTTTCTGTTAAGGTGTTCTCAGTAACAGCCCGTTGGGAAGTTGGCGATGTTTCACCCCCGTGCCTCGGAGAGCACGTAAAGCCGTCGGTCCTGCGCCTTAACTCTCACTGGTCGTGTCGAGCAGTCGTCCCACCGGAGTATGAGAGTGACAGAAATAGAGAGTGCACGTTGTGTCTGCGCGTACACTTGTGCACTATAATATCTCCTGTATATCTGGCTAATCTCAATGAGATTGGCCGCCGTGGCCGAAATTGGTCAGCAGAATATTATTATTATCGATAAGTAAAACCGCGTCAAAACACGAGTACTTAGAATAAATATAAAATAATTTGATTTATATGGTATTTGTTCTTTATTATTTTAGTACTCACACTGTTATAATGTCAAGGGTATGACTTCCGCGTCGCTTTAATTGTAACTATTAAATTCGATAAATCAACTCAAAATAAGACTAATGTGTTATCTCATCTCGTCTCGATAAATGAAACAAGATAACGTAAGTAGTTCCTGAGATAAATGTGTCCAAACAAACAAACGAAAAATTAGCTTTGAATTTTTCTTAGTGCGTATAGATTATAAAAAATCATAGTATTTTTTTTAAAGCAATAAAATTAAAAAAAAAGTTGATGTTTCAAGTAAAAAATAAAAATTAAAAAAATAAAATGGCATTTAAAGGGTACAGATTATATTAAATCATTTAATAATAAAAAATAAATAAAATATTAAGTATATATTTGCCGATGAGGCAATGGTATGGTGAAAAATATAAAAGTAATAATAATAATTAATACTATATTTTATATTTTTTCTTTATGGTTATAAATATAATAATGGCAACACTAAATATAGATTACTAATTAATATTTTTAAAATTGTAATAATTATAAAAATAATAGCAAAAATTAAATAAATAATATTCCATATTCAATTATAATTAAAATTATAAAAATGTTTAAAGTTAAAAATATTGTAATGTAATTGGAGCAATTTTCATTTTGTTAATTGTGGGTAGGCTGTCTGTAACAACTATACCTTCAAGACATGTATCACCTCAGTCTCTCCCGTGACCATGGATGCTGTAAAGTATTCGAAACGTCGGGAACCAAAAATCAAAATAAATTCGCGAAAAAATCCGAAAACATAGTTTTATTTAAAATACACATACAAAATTTCTAATCGA